GACGAAGCTATTTTCAGCTATGTTCGCATAAAGAGAGTTAAAAGAAGTGATGGTTAACACCCTTAAACATGGGTAGGGCGACGTTCAGAAAAAGAAGGGTGGTGACCGGTCTGAGTTCATTCTGGATAAGGTATATTGAGCTTTACCATGTCGGTTTTTGGACTTGAGCAGCTAACTCATCACAATATAGGCTCAATTTATAGATAACAGCGATGACGGAACTCAACGAACATGCCATGCTCAGTAGTTTGGTAGGTGGCAACCAGCGAATCCTGGCTGTTGTATGTTATTGTCTCTTTTTTTTAAAAATATAAGCACTATCTTTTCTAAGCAGCTTCTGAAGGGGTAATCTCTCATGTCTTTCACTTGGATAACTTTCACTGCTCTTGCCCTCACAAAAGTAACACCCATTACTACAGAGAGAATAGTATGTCATGCTTCCCATGAAAGAAAGAAAGTTTTAAGACCACAGTCTCCCGTCTCATTCGATCCTTTGTTCCTTCTCCCACAGCACAATAGGAAACATGATCAAAGTGCACAGCGTACCAAGTACTGCTACTGTCAGCTCTTGATGACTTCGTAAATCTATGGGGTTAGGATGAACTTACATGGTACGAACTGGAACCCGTGCAAATAGCTCGATCGAACAATCCCTTGAACTTCTTCCGACAAGGTATCTGGGAACCTCAATTCGTTGAGGATTCGATCGATAAACTAGATGACCATAGTTAACATTTCACCTGTCATCGAAATTAAATCAGCCGTACACACCTGCTTCTCTTTCAATCCCTCTAGACCCTCTAAAAGCCTATTCGCGAAGAGTCGTTGGACGACTGCAACCGAAGCCGCTGGACCAACAATGAACCCCAGCTGCTGAGAGAGATAGTAGATCCCAATTGACGTTGCAAGACGCTCTTTAGGTGCAGTCAAAGACATACCAATGAATTGTGTGGAGAAGAGTATGCCATTTGCCCCACCTGACGGGAAAAGATAGACTAACTCCCAGGTGAAGCAGCCATTTCGGTAGCGGATGAAAATGAGAATGGACCACAAGACGGTAAGGCCCACGGCTATGATAGTCATCACCTTATAACGCTTGGTTCTTTGCCTTCCTGTCAGTGACAAAGCCTAAGTATATCGGTATATGGACTTACTGCTTGATGATGGCACCGGAGACCAGGCCGCCAACGGATACACCCACCGCGGTAACGACATAGGTGAAGGAGGCGAGGAAATCGCTCGCTTTTTCCACTCGGACAAAGTACGGTACCAAGTTACTACTAAGCTATTCCCAAACGACGCGTCAGTGGACATGGTAGAGTTGGTTCAACATCATGGTTGACCTACTGCTGAACGGCCCATGATCAACAAGAGTTGTCCCAAGTAATAACCTCCCAAGAACGTTTTCACGAGGTTTAAGGGTATCAGTGGCTTTTTCGCCCAATACGCTTCCACGAGTATGAAAACAGCAATAGCGACAGCAAGCGCAGGTACCAAGAGATAAAGCAGCCTTGGTTGGTCGTCCGTCGTGTTCAAGCTCTGGATTAGGAAAAGCAAGATGATGACGGCTATAGCAAAGCTTATGATACCGCCAAAGTCAAGATCTGATACTCGAGACCGAGCACCGGCTTGGTTGGTATCCACCATGCGTTGGTTCAGCGACGAAGGGAGGCCGTAGGATACGATCATGATGCAAATTAGAATCAGGGGCAATTGGCCTAGGAAAGACCTATGATTCAATTAGTGCCTGAGATCAAGTTTAATCCCTCCAATAATAAACTCACCATCTCCACCCGAGTGTCGCGATCAAGTATCCCCCAACCGGAGCTCCCAAGCTGCGTCTGCTAAACACGCCAAGAAGCTACCAAGCTCCTGTCCTTCTATGACCTGATACTTTCATCATGAAGCTGACGATAAGGCAGTTTCTAGCCTGAGCCAGAACATCATCAACCCAGGCGGCGCAATTACGTGCAGGGGGGTCAGGTTTCGCTTCCGTCAATACTCTAGGATCGTACAGAACTTCAGCCGCTCTCGCAATCTGTTCGAACTCGGCAAGCCGTGTCTTCGGTAGTTGAAACTGGAAGGTAGGACTTTTGTAAGAGTCGTCGGCGTTGAACCGGTACCCGGGTTTTGGATCGTAGTCCATTCCCAACCCGACAGTGCCTATTACGTTGTAGAATCTTCTGGGGTCTTGATCCTCATTTTGGGCAGGTACCAGAGCGATGCCAACGTGATCTGGTCCCCCTCTCTGGGTGAAAAGTACTCGGTAGACGTTGTAGGTGGTAGTTTCTGTAGACATGTGGGCGATGATATTTGGTAGCACAAGGGGTGAAGGTAGTGTGGCGCTTATAGCTTTTGATGCGGTCTCGAGGATTGTGGATAGCGCTCTTGTCCTAGAGCAGTGGTGCGTATCTTCTAAGATTTATGCTTAACGCAATAGGGTAAGCGATACTTTCAGAGAAGGGATCGTCAATTAAGTCTTTACCCAAGCGCTGAGTGGTCGTGAATGATTCAACCACACCAAATTCCAGGATTAGGAATAGCCTTCGGCACGAGCAACGTTGTGATTCACCAATTGGAACATTGGCCTTTACAAGCTGTGTGAGTACTTTTGTATAATGTATAAATTCGGATCTAAAGGAATATGCTATTTAGTCGAATTTTTTGAAAGATGACCCAATCTCTACTCAGACGGGCATGTACAGCAAGAATGCACGAAACGGCTACTGAAATTGACTACTATTTCGGATCAAAAGCTAGAAGTATGAAGAGATAGCTTACTATTGCCAAATAAAATAAAGCCTGTCGTTGAAAACAGCACTCATGTTTTCCTTCGAAAGGTCGGAAGACAACTTTTTCACCCGACACGCTTTCTTTATTCTTCGTCAGCGCTTATTCCACAGCACTGAGTCCCCCTGTAACCACACATATCCGGTTGGGTACAATAAGTTTTTTTTAGCAATATAGCCATCCTCGCTACCAAGATGTTTGGCCATAGGTTCGCTAAGGTAACGCAATGCCGGGGAGCCGCCAATTCTCAAGACCTGCTTGATCCTACTTTTGGCTCTTTCGATTGACTAGACTCTATAGCTTCAGGATCAATAGCCTCTGGATGAACGACGAACACGGTCACAACCTCACTCGCAGCAGTAGTCTCCGCAGCTTGAACGATTTGAACGCTCAAGACTTGCGTACCTTTAGCCGAGATGGCATCAAACACGAAGTCCAACGGCAACCCGCCGATTGCGCTTTGAAATCCTCCGGACTGGGCCGGGCTCGGTCTAGTACGACGTGCGCGCCTAACTCCTTTAGAAACTGATGGTTTTCAGGACTTACGTTGGTCACAATCTTCTCAAAGCCTGACAGTCTGGCTAGCTGGATGGCATACTGGCCCACAGACGAGGCGCCTCCAATGATCGCTACGGCTTTGCCCCTCTCAACTTGTGGACCTCCTTTCTCCCACGGTGGCGGTAACCCATGCCCTTTCTTATCGTAGAACGCTGTGACGGAAGTTACCAGCGCAAGACTCACTCCCGCAGCTTGTTCATCGCTGATGTTGTTCGGTGTCTTGGAGACCAATACCGCTGGCATCTTACAGTATTGCTGGAAAAAGGTCGAGTTGTATTTTCCTTTGGAAGAAGACCCGGTCACCAACGGCGACATTTGATACGTCGGGCCCAAAGTGCAACGATCTGTCCAGGGGCATCGGACCCTAGCACGGCAGGGTATTCATTAATGAAAGCATTGTAGTCGCGCATCTTCCAGTCGACTGGGTTGACGGCTGTGGCAGTGATTTTGATTGCGACTTCACCCGGTTCGGGCGGTTGTAATGCGCGGTTTGAGACGACATTTTGGATTTTTGCCTCGGGGACCACGGCGGCTAGAAAGGCCTCTGGGACAGTCATTCTATATAACACAGGTCGTTTGCTCATGTATAAAATAGTGTTTCTTTATGTCACAAGTCTGAGAGATGCGGTGTCGTTCACACAACCGATCTCAGTACATGAAAGGGCTTCTGCTATTTACCGGGTCAATATACCCAGAGGAGTTGGACGCATTGACCATCTTGTCATCGCGCGATTGCTGCTATCAAGTCGGATCCGGTGGTTAGAGCAAAGGATGCATTGGCTCACCAAACCAATTCACCCTATAGTCGCCTCATATTAGTTTCGAGTGCCCCTTCTCACGCCACTGGGAGGCATGTCAGGTTCCCCTCATGTGTAGACTAACCGGTCATGATTCTAGAATCCCTTCCGTTGTGTTGTGATCGCAGGGGAAGAAGGGCAGAATGGAACTGTATCAGCTACACGTTCGTAGCCTACTGAGGAGCGGATGCCATATTATAGGTATTCTATTCTATGGACAATGATTCTTCTTGTCACTTGCTTGCTTGCTTGTCTAACTATTTGATGGGTCAAGCCTTCAGGGGTTGAGTCGGTGATCGGCGAAGGCGCTAGTGATCACGTGTTCTCATATAGTTGTTAGGGGAACAACGACATCCATTCGTATAGGGCCCCGGGAAACGAGGCCTCATATAGGAAAGCTATGACTAATGTGCTGACTAAGCAAGGCGACAAGGCACCCAATTGCCAGGGCTTGGCATGGTGCTCCAAGAATAGTTTCATATCACGTTGAACAAATGGCAGCTCACTTTACTCAGCTCCCGAGATACCTACCTATCTACCTACGTAGACTTGCCATGCAATGGAAGCGTTCGGTAACTGCTGTTAAATATTATTCTACAGAGAACCAAAAAGAATGGGGAAGGGTATTCTACCAGTATTTTGGTAGCCTCGCAGCGAAGGTGATCTTACTCCGTAAGCCAAACTAATTAAATCTGTCGTCCAATAGCAACAAGATTCTACGAACAGGGGATCTATTATTTAAGGCGGTAGATCAGAAGCGGTCTGGAACGGTGCCGACCAAAAAACACCAAGCTCCGAGATCGGGCATCAGGTAGCAACACCAGGAAGGAAGCCAAGACATCGAGAAAAAATACATGCCCCCACGCGGGATTGAACCGCGGACCTCATCATATATCGATGTTACGAGTGATGCGCTCTCCCACTGAGCTATAAGGGCTTGTTTGTTGAATATTATGTCTTTACAAGGAGGTTATAATCTATGCATGCTGATGGCGAGATGAATTCTGCGCTATATGTTGCACAACTACAGTGAAGACCCTTTATAAACAAGCACGCATAGGCCATATGCCCGACATAAGCGATTGAACTAGCATTTAGGTCAAAAATGCGCACAATGTTGCTTCAAATCCTGCTGTAAGATTTTGGCCACGCTTAGTAGGTCGAGTATCGTCATGTGATATGTTCAGACTACATGGTCACCTGTCATAAGTTGCGCTTCATGCCTCTCCATTTGTTTTGCATGGTTGAGATCAGATTTTCATATTAGAGTAGCAGTTTATTGGTGCGTATCGATAACATGAGTTGAGTTTGTTGAAATGTTGCTATCATGGTAGGTATAGTAGTTAGTGCTTACATATATATTCGCCCGACGGGCTTCATTAATCAACCAACCCACACGAGACAAGAAAGCAACATAGCCTTACAATCCACATTAACCGATAAGAGACTCGGTGGTTGCAATATAGTATAATACAAGAGATGGTTCATCAAGTATTTGACATCAGGACTAAGGGCACGGTCTCTGCTCAGTCACTAGGCAAGTGAATCCTTTAAAATTGACTATATCATGGATAGTGAAGAGGGATGGCTGTCTTATGGCTAGAAGGCCTTAAATATCCTGTCAACCCCGCCCACAATGGTCTTCTCATTTCTCTTTTCAAATACAGGCCAACTAATCTTGACACTCAAGATTCCAAGGGATACTTGGGCAAGTAGGGCATAGCCTATTGACATTGTTACCTGCCCCTTGGCACTCCAATTCAGCTCAACGTGCGCTTGCCAACCAAAAAAAAGGAAGATGCGTTACATATTGCTATCATGCATAGCAATAGGGACAATTACACAGGTAAAGAACTGCCCCCATTGTGCGGGTTCATGAACCACGGAGCTGTGCTCCAAGTTCACTTTGCTAGAGGATGGGGCCGCGCATGTAGGTAACGTATCCTTCGTTACGATGTGCTTTATAAGCATACTTACGATAGATCGAGTTCCTCAAAAAAGAGAAAGAAGATGAGCAAAACCGCGGCTTAAAAAGGACAAAGCGAGGAAGCTTGAAGTAAGTTAATCCCATCTACATACTGGATGTATTCGACCTAGATAGCAGAAGACTAGGTCAAGAGGGAAGCTTGGTAGAAGGATTACATCAAGTGATTCTATAAGGTTACTAACGTAGAGTCTAGGAAACGAGGGCCAAGGAGAAGCATTTGATTATGGACATGGAGTATGCCCAGGGCTGGCGAGAGGGATGGACCCCTCGCTGCCCACAACGATGCCTCGAGCCCCTCTATATCATGGATGGCCAAAAAGCGCAGGTCTATGGAAAGCCTTTGCTCTGGAGATAAAGGTATGAATATAATAGTTACTCCAAACAATGAGATTAGACTAATGAAAAGGCTAGGAGGAAATAGCGAGAGAGAAGGAAAAGAAAAGAATAAAGGTAGAATAAATTGTCAACTGAGTTGAGGCCAAAGCCAATGAAAAGTTTGTTTAGTTGCAATAATCAATTGATATATTTCGTCATTCATTCATGGAACACCGTAGTTTTCACACCACCAAGTTCAATATTCTCAGTATTCGCCTTTGGCGGCTTATCCCAGTTCCTCCTCACTCTCGCTCTCACCCACTCCCCAGCCGTAACCTCCGCATCCCCACTCTCATCATTCTTGAAACCCAAGCGCCTCAGCAATGGACTATCGACCGTTTTCAAATCCAGTCCATCACCCGGCCTGACAAAGTACAAAACGCCCAGCCGGTCGATATGTGCCTGATCCGGCGGTGGGGCAATCACACGATGCACGCTGCTCTTCAGATACCCATTGGTCCAGAACTGCAAGGCATCTGCGATATTCACCGTAATACTATCAGGATAAGGCTTGACATACTTCCATGCGCCCTCAGGCGTCTTCACCTGCAGTGCCGCAACAGGCTGTCGAAATAACAGAGTCAAGCTCCCGAAATCCGTATGTCCGCGGGACCACAGATTCTGATGCCTGGCGTTCTCCTCTGCGCTGCGTGCCCGGTAGATCATATACCGCAAATGACAGTCACTGGGACCATCGTACGGGTGGCCGTTCACGAGGTAATCCTCCGGTAGCTCAAGGAGGATGGCGATTAGCCGGAAGAGCTTGGTCACAATTTGGTCGTAGATAAATCGGTGGAACCGCTCGATCTCCGCGTAGTGGTGTAGGATCACGTCTGGGTGTGACCGTGCGTATTGTGGAATGAACTTGAATACGTTGTATAGCTCGATGTTGTCGCGTAGGCCTGGCAGGATCTCGATCGCTCCTAATGGTCGGTAGCCGTTGTAGTTGCCGGCTTCGAGGTCTGAGCGGTGTTTTAGTTTTTCGGACTCGGGGAGTTCGAAGAGTTCCTGGGCGATGGCGAATTGGCGGTCGATTTCTTCTTGGGACAGTCCGAAGTTGGTGATGTAGAAGAATCCTGGTCGATTGTGTTGGTGTGGTAAAGTATTTTGTAGGGGGCTTTGGGGCAGCTTACCGATTTGATGGACGGCGTCTTTCAATCGAGCTGCTAGTTTCTCTTTTCCTCCCGGCAGGCCAAATTGAGAGAGGTCAAGAGTGACTAGGTCGGCCCAGTCGACTATGTGCAGTTAGTATTCTAGAATGTCTGCGTACCTGGATCGTGACAACTTACGCTCATGTTTGGTTTCAGGTACATGGGTGTATTGTCTCAAAGTGGAGGAACTGGCTCCATAAGGCAAGTTCGGCTGTTGCGCTTCTTCAGTCATAGCTAATATCAATCATTGATAACAGGGCTTGACCTTCTGCTAGGGCTAGTGGGATGAATATGGTCTAGGATAAGTCGTGCAGACATCGGAAATTTATACATGAGATCCTTATAACCCCTCATTTGACATATGCGGCTTGCTCTGGGATGGTGGAGAACGGCATTCGGGAGAGTAGACCACAGGCCTGTTGATGCCGAGTGGATGATGGTGAAAGACCGCCTGGTGATGGCGTGAGATGCTTGTGCCAGGATCGGGTTTGTTGCCGGGTACGCGTTAGGTTTACAAGGGCTCTACCAGATGCTTGGCAGTGATATGAGGCGAAGAAAGCTTGTCTCTAAGCTACAAGGACCAGATTATACGGCTAGATCTCTGCACTGTGATCAATTGACTCTGTATATCGCTAGTTTACGTGTTGCAGGAAAAACTAGACTCTTTACCTAACCTAGACATATATATGATCAATCAATCAATCAATCATCTTCCAGAAGTTCAGCTAATTCACGTTCTTCTTCCTCCGTGAGCATGGGTTCTGGATTTCGCTCTTGTTCTTCATCCGCAGATGTGTTCTTGGCCTTCTCTACTGAAACCTGGAGATCCTCGGGCTTCAAAGACCATCGACGGATGGTCGCATCGATACTGACACTGACAAGCGTTGAGCCCAGGAGTACAAGTCCAGTAACCTCCTCGTAATGACCAGAGAAAGTATGGTAAAGTTGTCCGGTCTAACATGGTATTAGCATGTTCGTAATGCGCAATCTAAAAGAGGCACCTACCGATCGATTCCAGACTCGAACCTCTTCATCTCTGCAAGATGTGACGACCCAGCCCCCCTGTTCGTGAACAACTATATCGCGAACATATTCTGGGTGAGTCAACGTCAGATTTGGCTTCCATCCATCCTCCCTCACGAGGCATTTTGCGGTTTTGTCTGCAGAGGCAGTCCACAGATCGGCATCGCGGTCAAAGAAGAGCTTGTACACGTTTGTCTCATGAGCTAGGATAGCGTCAGTGCCGGTCAGGTCTTGACTGCCCTTGGCGATGTCGAAACGACGAATTTCCCGATCGCTGCCCGCACTGAACACGACAAGCTCCTGGTTGTCTGAATCTAAAGAGACGGGATCTACAGCAAGAGCCTGGATTCCCTTGGCATGTCCTTTCAAGACAGATAATCGCTCACCAGTGGCGATGTCGAACACCAGGATTTGTGCGTCGGCCCCACCAGAGACAAGGACATCCTTGCCATGGAGTTGCGTAGTGACAACCGCTCTTACAAAGTCTGTATGACCTTCATACTTCCGTTTAACTTCTTTCGAGGCCACATCCCAACACCAGATGCATTTGTCCCAGCAACCAGCAAATAGTAAACGACCGTCGGGGCTGAAGCAGATGCTCGTGATAGGAGCCGTTGGTCCTTTATAAAGCGCAGCAGTTTCACCTGTCTGCAAGCAAACGAGGAAGATGACGTTTGGCTTAGTTACGTATCCCAGCGAGGCATCCAGCAAGAAGTACACCGTGCACCTACTTCGAGTATAATCTTCCTGACCGTGCCACCGCTCTGGGCAACGAATACGGAGCCAGCATTCAGAGGGTCTGCTTCGACTGCCAAGATCTTACTTTGTAATCTGATGGGATCTCCATTGGTATTTAAAGATTTAGCGCCCTTTCGCTTCTGCTCATCAAGCGCAGCCCTGGAAGTCGGGGAGGAAGATCAGCGACAGGAATGACCGAGGGAACGAGAAGAAGAATCAGCCCTATGGATGGATGGTATGAGTGTGACGAACGTAGTTTGAAAGAAGTCATCCTGGTGGGAAGAACGGGACATATTGACAAAAGATACAAATTAATGAATGCAATTGGTTAGTTAGTGGAGGCTATCTCCTGAGATCTACCTTGAGATCTAAAGTGTCGCGCGTGAACAGAAGTGGTAGTGAGGGGATGTTGGAGAATGCGGAGTGGAGATTAATTTTTGATGCGGGAAGCGTTCTTTTTGGCAAAAGAAACGAGGGAAAGAACTGCACTCTGAGCTCCTGCTGCCCGCCGTATCCCGAAAAGCTTTTCCCACCACAAAACCGGACTTTCATCTTCTCTTCTTCTCTCTTCCTTCACTTTCCTTCTTTCTGCCCCATCTCTCTGAATTTTCTGTCCTTTATAAACAGCTTTCCTCCCCTCCCTTCCCCTCTCATCGTTTCTTT